TGCATGCCGCCGCCACCCGATGTTGGCGCACCCCTCACACGTTCCCTGCCCCCCCCGGGAGCTCCCTCTAAGGCCCCAGTGGTTTCGCCCGCATGCCGCCGCCACCCCACTTTGGCGCACCCCGCTCACGTTCGTGGCCCCACAAAAGCTTCACCTTAAGCCCCAGTGGTTGCGCCCACATGCCACCGCCACCTCAATTTGGCGCACCCCTGACACGCTTCGTGGCCTCACGGGAAGCTCCACAGAAGGTCCCAGTGGCAGGAATCGCATGCGTGACCGCGCTTAACGTCGGCACATCCCCCACAGGTTGCCCCACGGGGAGCTTCGCCCAAGGCCCCGTTGGCAGGCATCGCATCCGTGACCGTGCCCGTTTCGGCACACCCCTCGCACGCTTCTCGGCCCCACATTGAGCTCCGCCGAAGGCCCCCGTGGCGCGCATCGCACGGGCGACCGCGCCCGTCTCGGCACACCCCTCGCGGCCCCCATAGGGGAGCTCCACCGAGTGCCCCCTTCGGCAGGGATCGCGTGCCCGGCCGCGCCCCTTTTGGCACACCCCTCGCGCGCTCCGTGGACGTCTGGGAGCTCCACACGAGGCCCCGCCGCACGCGGCTCCCCAGACCGCGCCCTGCGGCTCCCAAAGGCTGGGCCGACAGACGCTCAGATCAGCCGTGACGGGCGACGTCCACATGCAGCCCGTTGCGGCTGACCCCTGCGGGCCCACCATCAGAGTCGCTCCGTCCTTCTCACGCACGTTTCGGTCATCTTGCTGGCCCCCTCCCGTTGTTTCCACCTGTCTTGCCGTACTCGCAGATGCATATGGTTGGGTCTTTCGCAGGGATAATTGTGCTGTGGGCCTGGAGTGGCGACACCCCCCCGTGCGTTTTTTGTCCGTAACGTTAGAGGCCTGCTGAGGACGACAGACCTGAAACCGAAAGCTTCCACAGTGAAGGGGACGCATGGCCCGGCGGCGGGGAGAGGGGGAGCGCAGTCTGGCCGCCCCTGGACAGCCGCACGTCGACGGTGGAAAGCATCGCCGATGCTCAGACCTCCAACGCCGTGAACGAGGCAGCAAGACAATGCTTTTTCGCCGTTTCGGCCTCTGGGGACTCTCTGGGGAGTCTAAGAGCGGTCTGAGAGGGGGCCGGGTCGGGGGCCCCGGGGACCGCGAACTGGAAACAAGAAAAAACACGGTGTCCGAGGTCTGAGCCTACGTGCCTCTCTCCGTCCGCGGGCAAGGGGGGCCGGGGTGCGGAGGGAGGGCAGGAGGGGCGGCGGCCGGCAGGGACCCGCGGGGGCTCCAGGTCTTGAGGCGGAGGGCACACCACCGCGTCGACTCTCAGCCACGCGCCTGCTCCAGCGCAAGGCCCGCCCTCGGGAGGGGCAGGGGCAGCGACGGCGCGAGGTCCACCGCCTGCGAGGCAAACTCGGGCAGCTCCTCCTTGTTCGGGGCCACGTGCAGGGAGAGGCTGCGTGTTCGGGCCGTCCTGTGGCTGCTCGGGCTGGCCGGTGCGAGGTGCGCGAGCCCGCCAGTTCTGGCGCGGCTCCGCGCCGCTCATCGGCACAGTGGTCGGCGGCCGACGGCGACGGCGCACTCGCAGGAGCACCACGGGTCCACGGTCAGCGGTCACTGGTCAACGGCCACGTCACTGGTCGACAGTCACTGGCCGATGATCACTGGCCGACGGTCACTGGCCGACGGTCACTGGCCGATGGCCGACGGGTAATTACCACGAGCCAGCTGTGAGGAAGACGGCTCACTCGGGGGAAATGCACAGAGGGCTCAGCTCTGTAGGCAGCCCCTGGCCGCGCCTACGAGTTTGGCGCCTGGCGTCGGGAGGGCGCTGGGCGGGAGTGAACAAAGGGCTCAGCTCTGTGGGCAGCCCCTGGCAGCGCCTCCGAGTGTGCCGTCTGGGAACATCCGGAGAGGTCTGACCTGGCGGCGGCGATCCTTCGGCGCAAGCCCCGAGCCCCGCGCATTCTTGCGCGGCCGCATGCTGCAGGCGGCTCCCCGGGGGCGCGCACTGCTGCCGAGACACCGCCGTGGGGTCGCTCCGCCGTCAACGGCTTGCCTCGCTGGGCGTCGGGCTGTCCGACACGAAAGAGCCGTAGCTTGACACGAATGAGCCGCAGCTTGACACGAATGAGCCGGTGCTGCGCCTGATGCCCCCGCTCTCGGCGGGCGCTTGCCGGCTCGCCGCCCTCGCTGCCTCCCCCTCGGCGCGGCGCGCTCGCGCCTCATCCAGCTGCTCCCGCAGTGCACGCACCCTCTGCTGCGCCTCCTCGCGCTCGCGCGTCGCCTGGGCGCGCTGGCGCCGGGCCTCCTCCAGCTCGGCCGGGTCGACACGCTGGCGCGCGAGCCGGGCCAGCTCGCTCTCGAGCGCCTGGCGGTGCCGGGCGCCCAGGGCGACCGCCCTGTCGGCCGCCTCCAGCGACGCCTGCAGCTGCTGCGCTCTGTCCTCCGCTCCCTCCAGCAGCTGTGGGCAGGCCGCGATGAGGCCCTGAAGCCGCGCCAGCTCCTGCTCCTGCTGCTGCATCTCTTCCTGCCTCGCCAGCGTCGCCTGCTCCGCCCCCAGCTGCCGGTTGATCCGCACAAGGACCTTCCACTCGCCGAGCACGCGCCCGACCAGGGCCCTCTGGCCGCTGAGGGCGCTGACGGCCAGGAAGGCCTTCTTGTTTCGCTCCTCCCTGCCGAGGGCAGCCCAGGACCGGAAGCAGGCCATCGGCGTGAGGTCTCGAACGCTGCTCCGGGTGAGCCAGAGGGCCGCCTTGAGGTGCTGTCTCCGCAAGTCGCTGGCGGTCCTGGCCATGCGGCTCGCGTACTGCCAGGCCTGGAGGACCCAGCTCCCCCACAGCTGGTCCTGCACCGCCGCGATGTCCAGGAGCTTCACCTCCATCCGCTCGAAGCGCTGCCGCTGGCGCAGCACCTCCATGCGGGCCCCGTGGAGCTCTGCAGTCATGCCCTCCAGCTGGGCAACCGTCTCGTGGTGCCTCTCCTGGAGTGCGGCGCCACGCCACCCGGCCCACACCTCCGCCAGGACCTCTAACCGCGGCCTGCCCCCGCGCATCGTCCTCCAGGCCTTGTGGAACCTCGTCCATGCCTGGAAGAAAAGCCGGAGCCCCGCCGAGGCGTCGCCGGCTGCCACAGCCAGGTCCACCAGGCCCGCGCGGACGTTGCCAGCCCGCGAGCCAGAGAGCAGCCGGCCACGACACGCTGCGAGGTGCTGCTCCGCCCGCCGCGCGGGAACCAGGGACCACGCGAGAAAGCAGAGGCCCGCCAAGAAGGGATGGAATCGCTCCTCCACCCAAGCGAGCTCGCAGGCTGGGCGTATCTCGCTGCCAGGACTCTCAAACCGCACCTTGCACAGGCGCCGCTCCGTCATGGAGAGGAAGGTTCCCACGCGGCCGCTCGGCAGGTCCTTGACCATCTCGTCTCGCTGCAGGTCTTGCGGCAGGGGGCGCTCGAGCAACAGCGACAGCCTCCACGCGAAGCACCACAGCGCGTTGGCGCGGGCGCGCGTGCCGAGCAGTCGTCTCGCGGCCGCGCGCCTCTTCTCGCCCTGGGTGCCGCGGAGCTGGGTGGCGGCGGCTCCCCAGGCGCGCAGGAACTCCACGAGCGGGATTCCAAAGGGTCCCGTCGACAGCCGCGCGCCCCACCGCGCGGGGTCCATGCCAGCCTGCGAAGATCGCAGCTCGCCGCCGCCGGCGCCGCGGGCAAGCAACTCGTCGAGCCGGCCCTCGGCGAGCCTCAGGGCCTGCCTTTCGGACGTCAAGGCCTGCTGCATAGCACCCGGCAGCGCCAGCTCCCGCCTCGACCCCGGCGAAGTCTGCAGGAGTCCACCCACTTGCACTGCACGCTGTGCTGTTGGCGGGGCGGGCGGGTGGCGCGCACTGGCTGGCGGCAGCGAGGGGGTGCCGCGCCCCTCGCCCAGGTGCGCGGAGAGCTTTTCCCAGAGCTCCCGGTTCCTGTCGGCAAGCCGGCCCTGGCTGGCTGAGTGCGAGTCGCTCGCGGCCCTGCCCGAGGTACCCGATTGACCACGCAGAATCAGCCGCGCGGCAGGCGGCAGCTCCGCTGGGACCGCAGGTCCAGGTCCAGGCAGCGCGCTCGAGTCCATCGAGAAGGCCAGCACCTGCTCTTGCGCCTCCAGCGCGGCGCGCAGCTCCTCCCTGGCCTGCAGCGCGTCGCGCAGAGTCTGGGCCAGCGCCCGCCGCTGCTCAATCGCTGCCACGAAAGCGAGGGCCACGTCTGTTAATGCGAAGCGCGCCAGGTGTGGCGCCCGCGAAGCGCTAGCCTCGAGGGCATACAGCTGCGACCGCAGCCGCGCAAGGCTGCTGGTGGAGCCCAGCTCGAGGCTGCGCACCTGCTCCAGCGCAAGCCCTCTGGACGTCTCGGCCTGCTTCGCCTGCCGGAGCACCTCCCGCGCCGCCTCCACGTGCGCCAGCCTCTGCCGCGACTGCGGGATGACAGGGCCCGAGCCGTCGCCTCCAGCGCGCCGGCGCTCCCGGCGCAGCGCCAGCAGCAGCTCGGCCGAGGCGCCCGAGGACGGCGGGCCGGGCGCCGCCGGGGCACCAGCGCCCGCGCCGCGCCGAGCCTCTGCGACCCAGTGTTCCACCTCCCGCAGCTGCGCCCGCAGCGTCGACTCAACTCCTGGCGCGGCCAGTGACCAGGCCGCAGGGTCGGGGCCCGCGTCCTCTGCCTCGAGCGGCGGCTGGCCGCGGCTGGGCTGGGACGCTCTGGACGGCGCGGCGATCTCCGCCCGGGTTGCCAGGGAGCTCCAGACGTCGAGGTCCTCCAGCTGCGACCGCAGCAGCTGCTTCTGCAGCGCCAGGCTGGGCCTCTCGCCGTGACCTCCGCTCGTCTCTTTCGGTCCGCCAGCGCCTGGCGAGAGGACCAGGTTCCACGCGGACGTCATGGGCACATGCCTCCTGAGCCGAACGGAGCCTCAGCTACGGACCGAACTTGCTCAGTCTCGCTCGGCAGCGCATTGCGAGACGGACGCGGGATCTATGGTACAGTGCTGCGTGTCGCGGACGGCTTAGCTCCATGCACGTCCAGAGCTTAGAGAGATCAGGACGAGGATAGATGGCCCGAGACATTGCTTTAGACTGCCATGATCGCTACCACTCACGGTGTACGCATCAGTTTGTGGCTGCTCTCGGCTCATTCAGTCTTCCTCTTTGCCATGCAACGGCGGAGGCAGAAACCAAGAAGTGCGACGGGACAAATTAGAGCGAGAGGGTACACCCAGCAAACTACGCGCAACAAATAATACGCAGCTGTCATTTCCCTGGAGCTGTTTACTCGAGGAAACGGCTGCGAGGGAACGCTCACGTTCAGGAAAGCGCAAAGTGGGCCCCAGCCTTCCTTCACGTTGAACACCAAAAGCTTCTCCGCAGGCACCGTTGCCTCTACTTCTGCTCGCAAGCTCTCGTAGTAGCGGCCCAAACACTCGCCATCAAGTTCCTGCATATCCACGTACTCCACCCACGGAGCCCACCAGGGCTGCACCATCCGTTCTACTCGCTTGCACCCGAAATCTTCCCCGCCGCCACCGCGCCAGTAATAAACGCTGACCTCTTGCAGCAGAGGGCCGAGGTCTACAATCCACTTCCACGGACGGCTCTTGTGGAAGGGGCCGAGGGCGTTGCCCGCCCACAAGGTGCTGGCCTTCCAATCCTCGGTCGTGTCACGCACCGACAAGAGGACCTTGCTGTCCGGAAACACTTCCAGCTGATCTCTCCACAGCATGTTCATAGGGGTGTCCATCGTGGCGCGGTATCCGAGCGAGAGCACTTCCTCGATCAGCGGGCGCGTGAACGTCCCGGGCTGCTGCAACGCCAGAGTAGCAGCACGCGTGTGCCTGTGCTGCATGATTCCGACGAGGTTGTAGACCGGAAGCCCGAGGACGTGCAAAGCCTCTGTGATGCTCTGCGTCCCTGTGCGGCTCGCCCCAGCACCGATCACAGCAAGCCCACCAACGCTTCGCTGCTCAGCACTCGCACCGCCTCGAAAGAACGCATCAAAAATCGTGCTGGGGAGGTTCCTTCCATGGGTGCTGTGAAGACGGCCAAGCAGCAAAGGTAAGTGCAGCAAGAGCGAAAGCCGCATGCCAGCTGGCGCCAGAGCGGCAAGCGCCCCAAAACAGACGTAAACAGTAGAAGGGACGTGGAGCTACTTGGGCCTGAGTGGCTAGAGAACGCACGTATTCGCTAGATGTCCCTTGGTGTGGCCGTCGAGCTCGATATGGGCCAGCTGGCCGCGAGGACGAAGAGCGCAGCGAACATGCTCCTGGCCAGAACCATTCGGAAGTGAATCCCCACAGCCCTCCCAGACACCATCATGACAAGGCTGTGCAGATGGGGAGGGGGAAGTAGGAAGAAGAAGCGGCAGCAGATGCAGCAGAAACTGGAGAAGCAGAGGTAGGCGTGTGTGGACAAGCCGTTGATAATCAGCCGTTCGCTGCCAGCTAAAATTTGAGCAGGCCTTCCTCTCCGCTCTCTGTGGGTAGCTTCTGTGCTCCTTTGCGCAGTGGAAAGAAGCTGCGCGGTCTGGCAATGCTTTGACTAGACGATCCGCCTCAGGAGCAGGTGGGAGGACGAGGAGGGGTAGCAGGAGGCAGGATGAGGAACAGGAGCAGGAGGAGATGGGCAAAGAAGAGCAGCAGCAGGCGGAAGAGGCAAGAGAAGAGGAGGAGGACGAGGAGAACCAGGAGCAGGAGCGGCAACAGGAGAAGAAACTGGAGCAGGAGCAGGAGGAAGCGGAAAGGGACAGGCAGGAGAACGGGGAAAGGTTAGTCAGGTCAAACATTTCTGCGAGCCCCGCCGACCCGCACCCTTTCCTCACATACAGTAAGGATCATCGCTGGTGCAACTTGGTATTGAGACTGGGGCGCGCTCCCACCTAGCGAGCGGATGGCGCTCGCGCGCGGTCCCAATTCCTGCCGACATCCGAAAGGGTAACAGCACGGTTCGTGCACGGGCGGGAGCGGGGGTTTCAGAAAAACTGTGAGTGGTGCTGCGGCGAGAGCACTGTGTATCCCTCTCTCGCACGGCCAGTGTTCCGATGTGGCGAAGGCAACGCATGCTGCGCGCCGAAGCAGCACTGCCATCTTCACCCGAAATATGTACGCCTGGCGCTTCGGCGAATACGAACTTCGCCCGCTCGCGCTCTGCCCCGCTGCCGCATTCTGCCGAATTGGCCAGGGAAAATAATGCACCGCTCCCGAGCGGGAACCCCACCTTCGACGATCCAAGTGAAGATGAGAGCATCAACGCTCTTCCCCAAACAGTGCGCTCGCACCTTTGGAGGTTCTTCATGAGGGTCCTCACTTGCAGTACTCGCTACAGTAGCTGATCGGGGATCTTCTGACCCGGGTCAATCCAGACCCGGGTCAGCCAAGCCTTGCAGAATCCTGCAAGATCCTGCAAGACCCTGCACCCAAACCCGGGTCAATGCGAAGGATCCTGCAAGATCCTGCAGGATCCTGCACCCAAACCCGGGTCAATGGGAGCCTGGCGCTGCAGGATCCTGCAAGATCTGGCGCTCTGGCTGACCCCCGTTTGCATTGACCCCTGTCTCGAGGCTCCCGAGCTGAGCCCCGACACGCCGCTCCGGGCCCCGCCCGTCGCCGCCGCCGTCGCCACTGTCAACTGGGGCCGGGTGACAGGCCGGCCGGCTCGTCGCCGCCCGTCGCCGCCCGCCGCCGCCGGAGTCCTCTGCCTGGCAGTCGCAGTGAGTTGTATTCAATCGCATTGCTTTGCGTTGCTTTGCTTTGCTTTGCTCTGCTGTGCATCATTTGGCACTGGCGTGCATGACGTTGCACTGCTTTGCCTCACTTCGCGTTGCTTCGCATAACTCTGCATCACTTGGCATTGCTCCGCATTGCAATCGCATTGCAGTCGCAGTGCAATCGAATTGCAATATCATTGCAATCGCATTGCGGTGCATTGCGTTGAATTGTGATGCATTGCAATGCATTACAATGCATTACATTGCTTTGCATTGCAATCGCATTGCAACCGCATTGCATGTCTCCGCATTGCTTTGCATTGGTTTGCAGTACATTGATTTGCAGTGATTCGCATTGATTGATTGCTGTGCATTGCGTTGCATTGATTCGCAATGCGTTGCATTACTTTACATTGCATTGCAAGGTTTTGCATTGATTGTCATTGCTTTGGATCGTATTTATTGGGATTGGGTTGCATTGCTGTGCATTGCGTTGCGTTGCTCTTGCGCCACAAAGATTACACTACATGGATGGCACAACCCAGATTGCACAATATTGATTGCACCACCTAGGTTGCACCGCATCGATTGCAAGAAATCACAGGTTGGGGTCCACGCTGGCTAACATGTATCGTCATGTATTGGTATGTACGTATACTGCACCGGTATGTCTACTTATGCATGTATAAGCATACATAGTAATCCGCTGAATGAGCAAGGATGAAAACCAGCAGGAGGGGGAGGAGAAGTGATATATAAGAGGAGGAAGTGGAGGAGGAGGAGGAGGCTCCAACCTTCAACAGTGCCACAAAGCAGTGAGGCGGGCTGCGCTGCAAATGGCTACCGCGCTATCCGAGCTGCCTAAGGACTTAGACGATGAGGAAGAAGCGGGAGATGATGAGCAGAAAAGGCGGAAGGCGGGCAAGGCAGAGAAGACGGGAAACCTTGTTCGTCGTGCGCATCCCCTAGTTCTAGCTACGCCATCTGGGCTGGACGCACCTTCGCCCAAGTGCTACGCAGAATACATGAAAAAACTCGTACACAAGTGGCACCACGGACACTTCCCAATCAATATGAGCCCGCCCCTGGCCTCAACTAATATACTTCCTCGGCACGTCCTTCTGACATGAAGTCCGCGCGCTGCAAGGGAAGATGTATGGCGACACTTGACGCGTGGGTGCAGTCGACTTCCACCTCATCATGGCATGGCCAGTGGTCACGTGCTGCACTACGCCAACACCTTCTGCATGTCCTTCCAGACGTCCTCCATCGCCTGGTTCGCATTCACTAGCTCCACCCGGCACTTCCCCCTGGCCCTGTAGTGCGACAGAACTGGCTCCGTCTCGGAGTGGTACCCCTCCAGACGCTTTGGTAAGGCCTCCTTCGTGTCGTCGGCCCGCTGCGTCAGCGCCTCTCCAGTCTCGTCATCCCGCATGTTCTCCGCAGATGGGGCGGACGTTCCATTGTACGACTTCGGGGGATTGAACTTCGTGTGGTAGGAGCGGCCAGAGGCCTTGTGTATCCACCGGCCACAGATGCGTTCCACCAGCACCACGTCTGGCACTTGAAGCTCCACGACGAGCCCCACGCTCTCTGACGTTTCCTGGAGCATTGCGTCAAGCGCCCCAGCCTGAGCCACTGTGCGCGGGAAGCCGTCCAGGATGAACCCTTTCTTACAGTCGTCGGCCTTCACCCTGTCACGGATGATGCGGACGACAATGTCGTCGCTCACCAGCTGACCAGCCGCCATCACTTCCCTCGCCTTCAGGCCAACCTCGGTGCTTCGGGCGACGGCTTCTCTCAGCATGTCGCCCGTGGACAGCTGAGGTATGCCCAATGCGTCCACGATCTTCGGCGCCTGGGTGCCTTTGCCAGAGCCAGGCGGGCCGCACAGGATCACCACCTTCCGCGGCTGCGTCGTAACGACCATGCCGCAAGAGGCGCTCAGCAGGGCAAGCCCCACGATCAAGCGGGCCGGCGTCATCCCGGTCAGCAAGGGCGGCATCAGCTGGATCGCATCGAACACCGAGGTCGACCAGCCTGAGATGGCGTGAAAATGTGTTCGATCGTGTATGGGGGCCGCAGCCTAGGACCGGAGCGGCAAAGGATAAATGAAAAGACAGGCGCGCCACAGGCGAAGACAACTACATAAGCACTAGCGCGAACGTACATTGGCGACAACACGCGCTCGCACATGTACGCGTACATATACAACTAGAACCATCGCGCGCGCTTCGCGCGCGCTCAGGTTCTAGCCCAGGCCAGGGGCGCGCTTGAAGATCTTGGACAGCGCCATCAAGCACAGGCACGTGACATAGTCGTGCCTCCTGAGGGCCTCTTGGAAACCTCTTGGGTCTTCTTGGGGGCATCTGAAGGGCTTCTGGGGGGCTCTCCATGCTTCCTCAATTGGCTGTTGCAGGCACATCTTGGGTGCTTCTCGGGGGGCATCTTGGGGCTTCTTGGGGTCCCTTGGGGGCATCGTCAGGGTTCTCCAGGCAGTCGGAAAGTGATGTTCTGCAGTCTGAGGCAGTCAATTGGCCGTCTTGGCTGCGTGGAGGCCCTGCTCGAGGCCATATTGGGGCAATCCGGAAGCCTCCTGGGGCCTCCTTGAAGCAATTTTGATGCATCGAGAGCACTGTTCAGCTATCTTGGGGCCCCGTGTACATCTCCTGTGGGCCTTTTGGGGCCTGGTGGGGGGCTTTGGGGGGCCTCGTCGAACCACTTGGGGACTCTTGGGGCCCCCTGTGGGCCTCTCAGGGCGAAAGGCTCTGCTGTTGGGTTCGCGTTATCCTTCTTGGGGCTCTCTTGGGGCCCTCTTGGGACCCTCTCGGGCCGTCTTGGGCGCCTCGGGCACCGTCTTCGGGCCCTCGTGGGCCGTCTTGGGGCCCTCTTGGAGGCCTCTGCGGTCTTGGGGGCCTCTTGGGCCGTCTTGGAGCGTCGGGATGCCAAAAGGCTGGGAACTTTACAATCGATCAAAAGCCGATGGGAAAACATTGCTTCTTGGAACCTCTTCGGCCTTCTGCGGAGCTTCTTGAGGGCCTCTTGGGTCCCATTTGGGGGCCTCTGGGGCTTCCTGAGAGCCTCTCTGGGTGGAAGGCTCTGATTTTCGGTTCGTCTTACCCCTCTTGGGCCCCCCTTGGGGCCGTATTGGTGCCCTCTCGGGCTGCCTTGGGCCCTGTTGGAGGCCTCGTGGGCTATCTTGGATTGGTCTTGGAGGCCTTTTGGGCCGTCTTGGAGCGTCAGGACGCCAAAAGGCTGTGAACGTCCACCAGCCCATTCGGGCGCAGTCTTCACACGGGAAGTGTCCCCCAGGGAGCGCTACCGATGGCCTGAGGGAAACGCAAAATTCACATAGCGTCACCCTGGCAATTACGGAACGCCGCTGACACGGGTCGTGGCCCCCTGGGATGTTCACGTACGGTGCCAGAGTCAAAGTTCGCGTGGCGGCCTCCGCCCAGGTCGACCTCGGGGGGCCTCTTGGAAGCCTCTTGGGGGGCCTCTGGAGGCCCTTGGGGGCCTGCCGCGGGCGTCTTGTAGAAGCACATGAAGGTTTTGGGGGAAGCCTCTCAGAAGCCCGTTGGGGCCCTCTTGGGGGTCTCCTGGGGGCTTCCTGGGAACCTCGGGGGGCCTCTTGGAAGTTTTTTGGGCGGCCTCTGGAGGCCCTTGGGGGCCTGCCGCGGGCGTCTTGGGGGCCTCTTTGGGCTTCTTGGGGGCCTCCTGGGCCGGGGGGGCTGGAAGGTTCAGTTGGGTTTCCCGCCTTGGGCCCCTCTTGGGGCCCTTCGGGGACGCGTTTGGGCCGTCCTGGGCGCCTCTTGGACTGTCCTGGGCCCCTCTGGGGCCGTCTTGGGGCTCTCTTGTGGGCTTCGTGGGCCGTCTTGGGGCGGTCTCGGGAGAGTCCGAGGTCGTAGAGGACGGTGCGAAGGCCAAAAAATCGACTATAGTAAATGTGTACGTTGCTTCCCGGGGCCGTCTGCGGGGATCTCTTGGAGGGGTCTTCGAGCGTGTTGGAAGCGTCTGGGGCGGTTCGAGACGCCTCTTGAGCCGCCGGAGACCGCTGGAGGTTGTCTTCAGGGTGGCTCTTCTGGGCGGCCTGGGGCCGCCTGGACGGCCGTCTGGGCGCTCCGGGGGCCGACCTGCGGCCCGGCGGGGAGCGGGCTGGGCCCGACGTCCCCCCATTTGCGGTCGGGGCTGCGGCCCCGGGGCCCCCGGGCCCGGTTCGGCGTTATATGTATAAGGGGCAGAGGGGGGAGGGAGCGACGGAGGACGGAGAGGAGGGGGAGGATGGAGGGGGGTCGTGGGAAAGGCCGGGGTGGGGAGCAAGGATAAACGCTGGTTCTGTTTAAAGGTGTGGCTGTGTTGTCTTGCCTTTTTCCTAACCATCATGTCTTGCGATGTCCTCGTTTTACAAAGACAACGCCCCGCGTTCCCTCCTTCCTGCTCCCCCTCCTCTCACCACCGCCTGCATGCGTCCGCCACACCCATGCCGGCACACCCCTCGCTCGCTTCGTGGTCCCGCAGGGAGCTCCACCCAAGGTCCCAGCGCTACCGCCCGCATGCGTCCGCCACATCCAGTACAGCGCTTCGTGGCCCCATAGGGAGCTCCACCGAAGGTATCAGCGCTACCGCGCGCATGCGTCCCCCCACTCAGTACATCGCTTCGTGGCCCCAAAGAAGGCTCCACCGACGGCCCCAGTGCTACCGCCCGCATGCGTTCGCCATAACCAGAATAGCGCCTCGTGGCCCCATGGGCGGCTCCACCCACGGTCCCAACGTTACCGCCCGCATGCGCCCGCCGCACCCAGTACACCGCTTCGTGGCCGCATAGGGAGCTCCACCGAAGGTCCCAGTGCTACCGCCCGCATGCGTCCGCCACGCCCAGTGCAGCGCTTCGTGGCCCCATACGGAGCTCCACCGAAGGTCCCAGTGCTACCGCCCGCATGCGTCAGCCACGCCCAGTGCAGCGCTTCGTGGCCCCATACGGAGCTCCACCGAAGGTCCCAGTGCTACCGCCCGCATGCGTCAGCCACGCCCAGAATTTGGCTTCGCCCAGGGCTATGAAGGGACGCGTGGATATTTTTTCCTTTTCCAATTTCATTTTAGTGGTCTCGTGCCATACAACAACAGATCTTATTGAACTGATCTGCCCAACAAAAAAATATGATCGACCCACGAACCCGGAAAGGGATATAGACATGTGGAGCATGGACACGTTTTCACGATACCCAACTGGGCAACACCTCACGAAACATCCCACGAGACACTTCACGAAACATCCCACGAGACACCTCACGAAACATCCCACGAGACACCTCGCGAAACATTCCACGAGACACCCCGCGAAACATTCCACGAGACACCCCACGAAACATTCCACGACGACAGGCAACCACTCAACCAAGGCGGTGTGGTCGTGCTGGGGAGCGGTCGTGCTGGGGTGTGGTCGTGCTTGGGGGTGGCCGTGCTGGGGGGTGGTCGCGCTGGGGGGGTGGTCGTGCTGGGGGGTGGTCGTGCTGGGGCGTGGTCGTGTTGGGGCGTGGTCGTGCTGGGGCGTGGTCGTGCTGGGGTGTGGTCGTGCTGTGGTGAGGTCGTGCTGGGGTGTGGTCGTGCTGGGGTGTGGTCTTGCTGGGGTGGGGTCGTGCTGGGGTGGGGTCCTGCTGGGGTGTGGTCGTGCTGGGGTGTGGTCGTGCTGGGGTGGGGTCGTGCTTGGGTGGGGTCGTGCTGGGGTGTGGTCGTGGTCTGGGGTGTGGTCGTGCTGGGGTGTGGTCGTGCTAGGGTGGGGTCGTGCTGGGGTGGGGTCGTGCTGGGGTGCGGTCGTGCCGGGGTGTGGTCGTGCTGGGGTGTGGTCGCGTTGGGGCGTGGTCGTGCTGGGGTGGGGTCGTGCTGGGGCGGGGTCGCGCTGGGGTGTGGTCGTGCTGGGGTGGTCCGCGCCCTGTGATTTATCGATCGGGTCGTGCTGGGGTATGGTCGCGTTGGTGCTGGGGTGTGGTCGTGATGGGGTGTGGTCGTGCTGGGGTGCGGTCGTGCTGGGGTGCGGTCGTGCTGGGGTGTGGTCGTGCTGGGGCGCGGTCGCGCTCGGCGTGGTCGTGCTGGGGCGCGGTCATGCTGGGGGCGTGGTCGCGCTGAGGTGCCCCGCGCCCTGTGATTTATCGATCGGGATTTCAAAAACAAGCGTTTCGCCTGAGACATCCTCAGATTTGAATCCGCCGGCCTCCTTCGACCTCGATATTTATCAGGGAAAGAATCCGCCGGCCTCCTTCAAGTTTGGCACCGGGGACATGTTTACATACTAAAAGAGAACCCTGGGCCTACGCCCTTGCCGGGACAAGCGCGCGCAAAATCCACTGCGGATGCCCTCAGAGGAAAACGAACAATGGAATGCTGCATAAGCGGCGCCCGCGTTCCGCCCGCAGTCCAACTGCAGAGAAAACCGCAAATAATCAGCCCACCAGAAAGTTCACGAGCATTGTCGCGGGGGCGGTCATGCATCGAGCGAGGGCAGCGGAATTATAGCCGTCTGATGGAGCTCAGCCAAGGGCTACAAACATACAACCGCAAACTGGAGACGAGCAGTGCGAAAGAAGGTCACTGCGAAACCAGACAGATGTCTCCAGGAAGGCGAATGCCTGCCAACGCGCCGCTTGCAATTGTTAATCATACTGGCCCGCGGTAAACCCCGACGGCAACGCCCAGACGCCAACAATAACGCCTAGACGCCCGGTGAAATCATTGACGCGTTGCTCAAATCCTCGCGAGCCAACCCATGAACAACCGCAAGGCGAGTCGCCCTGATCAAGGCCGGGTAATCGGGCAAGCGGCGAAAATAGCGAGCCGCATCCGCATTCGCGGATGATGAGCTGCAGGAAGCGGAGCAAAGGAAAGGAGGGCGGAAACTGAAAATCATAATGAACACGGCGAAGAGAAGGAGCATGGGGGTAGGAAAAACTGGAAACGTGCAAGAGCATGAGCAGGTAGGAACACGGAAGAGGAGCTTGGGGGAGGTAGGAAGAATCACAACAAGCCTGAGGGAGGCAAAAGGCGCACCAGTGATCCGTGCGGAACGCGCGTGCGCCGTGCGCCCTCACCAGCGAGGGCGTAGGAAGAGGTGGGAGGATCAAGGATCAGGAGGAA